CCTGGCTATTTTTTTGTTGCAGTTTGGCTGGGGCTGGGTTTGAACCCACCACCCTTGGTATATGCGCCCTACTCACTGAGCCACAGGTGCCGCTCGCTCTTTTTTTTAAAGCTGACTTGGGCTGGCGGGTTCCAATCCAGCCTGGGCCTGCCAAACAAAAATGACGGCTGTAATCAAAAAATAGCCAGGTGTTGTGGCAGGCACCTGTAGTCCCAGCTACTTGGGAGGCTGAGGCAGGAGAATCTCTTGAGCCCAAGAGTTGGAGGTTGCTGTGAGCTATGATGCCATTGCACTCTACCCAGGGCAACAGCTTGAGGCTCTGTCTGTCTAAAAAAGAATTAAAATTATTCTCTTTCGTTTTATCTTTGCTTACCAAGGAACCATTCAAGGGCTATCTTTCCTCAGAGCCCAAAACATACATAGGCTGGACAGTGTTGCAGTAGAATGTTAATTTCCTTTTAGTCAGAGAGTAATGCCCACAAGTGACCCAGTCAGACAGGATGCGCCCCAAGAGGCTTTTTTGTAGGTGTGTACAGACACGAACAGAGACCAATATCACACAAACACATACCATATATGTACATAAACAGAAATAGAAGCTTGAACACAAGGATCTTAGACCGTTTTCCTACTCTTGGACAAAAGAGCTATAACTGGAGAATAGTGCATTAATTCAAGAATCCATTTAATAGCCATTTCTCTTTAAGATTATACACAAATAGTCAGGTGTTGTGGTGGGTGCCTGTAGTCCTAGGTGTTTGGGAGGCTGAGGCAAAAGAATCACTTCAGTCTAAGAGTTTGAGGTTGCTGTGAGCTGTGGTGCCACTGCACTCTACTCAGGGCAACATAGTGAGATTAAAATATATTTTTTAAAATATAAAAAAATTAAAAGATTGTACATAGGCCGGGCCATATCACAGTAAAACCTCATCTTTGGGGGGGGGTCGTAGGTGGATACCCATTATATTGCCAATCAGATAGATACAACCTATAGGGCTGTCCTGTAGGACTGATAAGTGAGCCCCCATGGTTGGGCTCCACAGAAAACATAGATGCCTGGTCAACCAGAGGGGGACTCTAACCCCTGTGTGCAACTGGATGGGGACCCTAATCCTGTGCGCAAACAGACGGGGACTCTAACCCCTCTGCGCAACTGAATACAAGTGGAAAGGATTTCTATATAAATGTGAGGCAATGGTGAGAGGAGGACACCACAGAGAAAGGTCTTCCAGCAATGTTGCAAGGAGCAGCAGGGAGGCGTGCTGCAGTCTCCCCTGTCCAGGCCAGTTGCCAGAGCCCTAGGTGAGGTTGTACTCACCAAGCCACCCAGCTGATGGTCTCTTCCTGGTCACCAAAATATATTGCCAGACCAAGGAGTCTGTCCACCTGTCACCCGCATCAGCAATTCCACTTTTATTTATAAAAAAGCCAGCAATTCTGGAAAACAGCGAGACTGTCTCCTCAAAGAGCTGTTCTGCTTTTTGTCTTCGTTACTTGTGTAGTCCCGCCATAAAAGTAAATATCAGCCATGTTATTACTTATCATTGTACACATTAAACAGATTTTTCTTTTCTTTCTTTTCTTACTGTGTTGCCTTCAGTAGAGTATCGTGGCATCACAGCTCACAGCAACCTCAAACTCATAGGCTTAAGCAGTTCTCTTGCCTCAGCCTCCCTAGTAGCTGGGACTACAGGCACCTGCCACGAGGGCCAGCTATTTTTTGTTGCAGTTGTCATTGTTGTTTAGCAGGCCCAGGCTGGGTTCAAACCCGCCAGCCTCGGTATATGTGCCGTAACCACTGTGCATGGCACCGAGCCACAGATTTTTCTTTATAGGTTACAAAGTTACATAATATCCTCATATCTTAAAGTGGCTATGTCTTCAAAGCGTTCTTACTTTAGATTAAATCTATAGTTAGTCACCACTTTACTAAGTGCATTTCGCACACTGGGTCCTCTATGGGCACCATGGTCCTTAGAGTGTCCAGTTTCTTAACTTTGTAACAGGAGGCCTTGTGTGTGAATCAAAAACTCCCTATGGTGGCCTGTGGGCTCATCCAGCCCCACCAGGACCTGTCCAGCAGTGCCCTGCATGTAAAGGTTATTTGGGATAACAGTGGTTGCCATCAATGGGACTGTCCAGTTGCAGGAAAACAAGCTCAGAGCTCCCACTATTCTGCATTATGGTGAATTGTGTAATTATTACATTGTATTCTACAATGTAGCAATAATAGAAATAAAGTGCATGATAAATGTAACTCACCTGAATCATCCCCACACCATCTCCCTCTCCTGGTCCTTGTCTTCCATAAAAGCTTATCTTTCATAAAACCAGTCCCTGGTGCCAAAAATGTTGGGGACTGTATATACCTATTGCCTTGTAGCCTAGGATCTTAATTGAGCTGTAGGGTGCCTGGTTGCTGGCAATCACCATCCAGCTTTCTGTGTCTATGACATTGACTACTTTAGATATGTTATGTATCAGGTAAGTGGAATTATACAGTATTTGTTATTTTATGATTACTCAATATAACAACCTCAAGGTTCATCCATGATGCAGCATGGGGCAGAATTTCCTTCCTTTTTCAGGCTGATATTCCATGGTATGTGTGTACCACATTTTCCTTATCCATTAATCCATTGATGGGCACTGGGCTTGCTCCCACCTCTTGGCTATTGTGAATAATGCTGCTATGAATGTGGGTATACAAATATGTGTTTGAATCTCTACTTTCAATTCTTTTGGATGTACACCCAGCAGGGGGTTACTGCATCATATGGTAGTTCTATTTTTAAGTTTTTGCAGAACCGAAATACTGCCTTCCATAGCAGTTGCACCATTTTACAATACCACTGTTAGCGGCTCAGTGCCTGTGGCTCAAGCGGCTAAGGCACCAGCCACATACACCTAAGGTGGCAGGTTTGAATCCAGCCTGGGCCTGCCAAACAACAGTGACGGCTGCAACCAAAAAATAGCCGGGCGTTGTGGTGGGCACCTGTGGTCCCAGCTACTTGGGAAGCTGAGGCAGGAGACTCGCTTGAGCCCAGGAGTTGGAGGTTGCTGTGAGCTGTGATGCCACAGCACTCTACCCAGGGGGACAGCTTGAGGCTCTGTCTCAAAAAAAAAAAACAAAAACACAATAATACCACTGTTAGGTGTGTTTCTCACATTGCTTCTGATATAAAAGGAGGTTTTCATTTTTCCTCCTGACACTGACCAAGTCTCCAACTTCCAGACACCAACATGGCATCCTACAACTCAATGAAAATCTGGAACGACTTAGAGTTAATGTCAGATTCTACAGGGTTAAGGGTTCAGCCCCACGAGACCACTCTCATTTGTAAGACCTGTACCAGTCACAAGTATTGGCTCCCCAGGTTACTCATACTTTTGTTCCACATAGCTAGCAATTCAGGGTCCCCCCTCATCCAGGTTTGGTAATTTTCTAGAACGATTCACAGAACTCAGAAAAGTGCATTGTTTCCTATCACCAGGTCCTTATAAAGGATACAAGCAGGGAACAGGTGAGGGGATGAAGTGCATAGAGCAAGGTGTGGGGCTGGGGGAAGCCGGGAGCTCCCCTGCCCACTCCGAGTGCATCATCTTCCCACCGCCTTAGTGTGCTCGCCCACCCAGAATCTCTCCAAACCCTGTTGTTGAGGGGTTTTGTGGAAGTTTCATACCTAGGCATGTGTAGGCATGGTTGATTAAATCACTGGCCACTGGTGGTGAGTGCTGGGACTGAAAAGTCCAAGCTTCTGATCAAGGCTTGGTCTTTCTGAGGACTGGCCCCATTCTTAGCCCTATAGGGGCCTGCTGTCACCCTAGTAGAACAAAAGCCACTCCTATATCCTTATTTATAACCTGAGAAATTCCAAGGATTTTAGTAGCTCTGTGCCAAGAACCAGGCACAAATACCAACTCTTATTTCATACCGCCCACAAGACACAAGAGCTCCAGCCGTCAACACTTGTTATTTTCTTTGTTTTTCGTTAGTAGCCAGTGACAGAGAAACCTTACACAGATTTATTTTTGTACGAACATGTGATAAGGCCATATATATTCAATTGCTTAATGTTGTTATAAAAAAGATTTTTAAAAAATTCCTTTGAAAATCAAGAGAGAGTATTTATGTTGTGGAAACTGAATTACAAAACAAAACCCCAAGTCTTTAAAAGGTTATGTGAGTATTTGTTACTTGTTACAACATTTTTAGTGCTTCATAATGTGCAGGGTCAAAAAGAGCTTCTAAATTCGTATATTGTACCAAAAAATGCAATTCTAATTAAACTAATAACTAGTATATGTAGGTACTTGGCTGTTTCCGTTTGAATTCCTACAAAGTAATATATTCATGTTGCCTGAAAGTTAAAAAACGTCTTCTTGAGAAAAATGGAGGAGTGATTTATAGTTAAGATTTTACTAATATTTGAGTAAAATGACACCATCCTATCTTAGATTTCTTCATGTGTAATTTGTGGCTTCCACTACATAAACACGGTTTTCAGGAAGTATTTCTCCTCCACTAAAACCAGGGCAGGGGCTCAGCGCCTGTGGCTCAAGCGGCTAACGCACCAGCCACATACACCTAAAGTGGCGGGTTCAAATCCAGCCTGGGCCCACCAAACAACAATGATGGCTGAAACCAAAAAATAGCCGGGCGTTTGTGGTGGGCACCTGTGGTCCCAGCTACTTGGGAGGCTGAAGCAGGAGACTCGCTGGAGCCCAGGAGTTGGAGGTTGCTGTGAGTTGTGATGCCATGGCACTCTACCTGGGGGAGAGCTTGAGGCTCTGTCTCAAAAATAAATAAATAAATAAAATAAAACCAGGGCAGGCAAGTGGGAGGGTAGGAGAGGGGAAGGAGAGAGTTCCCTCCGTGTGAGCCAACAGATCTGATGGAATACACTAGTCTGCCCCCCACTTATCTGTGATTTCAGTTACTCACAGCCAACCTTGGTCCTCAAATGGGTACATACGGTACACTAAGAAATTTTGAGAGAATGCTCGCTTCAGCAGCACATGTACTAAATTGAAATGATACAGAGATTGGCATGGCCCCTGGGGGAGGACAACACGCAAATTCATGAAGTGTTCCCTACGTTTCTGGACTCCTGGTCTGAGCCAAATAAAGATTTTATTCCTAAAAAAAAAAAAAAGTGAGGAGGGAGGGCGATTGGTGGGATCTCACCTAATGTGCACAATGTGAGGGTGCTCAGAAGACCCTCTGGGGTGAAGGGCTCATCTACAACTTGAACTTTACCTTAGAATTGAAAACAATGTGACCTAAACATTTGTACCCTCATATTACTCTGAAACTTAAAAAAAATTTTTTTGAGAGGAAGATCCAATTCACATAGTGTTTATTATAGGATATTTTTATAATTGTTTTATTTATAGTTGTTAATGACTTACTGTACCTAATTTAGAAATTAAACTTTATTATTGGTATGTAAGTACAGGAAAATAAGGTTTAGCACTATTCCAGGTTTCAGGCATCCACTGGGGGTCTTGGAACAGCATATCTCTGTGGATAAGGGGAAACTACTCTCTAGGCCTGAACGGAAAGTACAGTGATTTGAAAAAGTCCATCATGTGCTGGAGAGTGAAAGGACGAAAAAAGACCTAAAGTATCAGAGGCGACAAAGAGTCCCAACCAAAGTTAAAGATCTTGGGAAAGAGATGTTCTGGCAGACTGCTAGTTGCTTCCTGCAACTATATTCACATTTTCTTCAATAATTGTAGTGCTTTAGCTATTACTAAATATTACCAAGTATTATGTGGGTACCTAATTAGAGATTATATTTCCCTGCTTCTCCTATGGCCAAGGGCTAACAGTGTGATTCTGTCCTCACAAAATAAGAAAAATTATATAAGTTTTTCATGCCTTGCTTAAAAAGAAATCATTGCCTTGCGTTGGTATGTAGACATAGAAGCCAGCCAGCTCTGACCACACCGAGGAGAACAGCACCGTAGCAGGGTGACAAGAGCAAAAAGATGAACGGGAGCTGGGCCCCAAGATGACTTTTTGTGACAGAGCTGTCACACAGACGTGGCATGATTAGTTCTAGTCTATCCTGTAACACAGACATAATTTTTTATTTAAGTATTTAAGCCACTGTGTTGAAAGATTCTTTGTTATAGCATCTTAGGCTTTAATTAATACAGAGGGGAAATCAAGTCAGAAGAACGTGTAACTGATACAGAGCCCAAGCACTCTGTGTGATTATACCAGTCAAATTACAATGACCAAAAGAAATTCATATAAAATTACTCTCACCCATTTGAAGCATACAGTTCAATGGTTTTTAATCATTGTCTAACCATGAAACCCCCCACCACAAATGTTTGTCACTATAATTTGCATTTTATATAAATGGATCATATAGTATGTAGCTTTGTGCCTGTGCCTTGTTTTCCTCAGGATAATCATTCTGATATTTTTACTGCATGTATCAGTAACATGTCCCTTTTTATTGCTGAAGAGCATTGTACCCCACTGTATGGATATACCATACCACAATTTGTTTATTAATTCCCATTGATGGACATTGTAAACAATCTATTTCTATTATTTACTGATCAAGGATGACTCCAAACGGGATGTCATTCCTTTTACATTCAAGCTCATTTTCCAGCAGTCAAGCAATGCCTAAGGAATAGCTCAGTGTCTAACAGTGCAGCAATGGCTAGGTTGCTAGGTTGTTTTGCCAACTTCCACAGATTCAGTCAATAAGGAGACAAGGAGTCCAGTGGATTCACATAACTTATTCTTTATACAGACAGCAGAACCAAGATCAGCGTGGTGTCCACTTCCATCTCCTCAGTCCAACTAGATGACACTGAATTGGAGAGGCCAGATGAAAGACACCTCAAGTGGTAGATTGCTCGGCCATGGAGGAACCAAATCTAACCCATAATAATACAGTTTTATAGACATACGTTGAAGTCTGCAGCTGTATATCATCAGGGTGAAACAGAAAGTTCTGCGCTCAACTGAAACTATAGCAATTGCTGTGAAACAGCCTCATAGCAGTTAAAAAAAAAATAGATGAGAAAATGCTTTGGCTCAGCGCCTGTGGCTCAAGTGGCTAAGGCGCCAGCCACATATACCTAAGGTGGCAGGTTCGAATCCAGCCCAGGCCCACCAAAACAACAATAATGGCTGCAACCAAAAAATAGCCGGGTGTTGTGGCAGGCGCCTGTGGTCCCTGCTACTTGGGAGGCTGAGGCAGGAGACTCACTTGAGCCCAGGAGTTGGAGGTTGCTGTGAGCAGTGAAGTCATGGCACTCTACCCAAGGGACAGCTTGAGGCTCTGTCTCAAAAAAAAAAAAAAAAAAAGAAAATGCTTCATGGTAGCTCCTTACATGGCTCATCTCCTTTTACATCAGGAGCAATCAGAGGCCACTTTACCCAACATCAGGGAACTAGATGGGGGGGGAACCCAACATCACGGAACAGGTTTGGGGCTACCCAACCACGATCTATATGGCCTACACGGAAACATGCAAGGTTGTGTGTGTGTGTGTGAGGGAGAAAGCTAAAATTGGCTGGCATTCCCCCTAAAATCTCCTGCAAATTTCAGACTCCCTGCCCCCTGCATGCCTATGGTGGCAAAGGGGGCTTGGAATATCCAGCAGAGTAGATGAGAAAATAGTCTGGGAAATGTCTAGATAGAGATCAGTAGCTTAGAGACAGAATATAAATAAACCTAAAAAGTAATCGATAATTTCCCCCGCAAATGCCCTGCATCTGCGGGCACCTTGACCTGTAGACTATAACTTTCCCTCACTAAATTCTCCCCAAAGTATTCTTTGAACTGTAGCTTAGTACTCTCCTGTCCTTTAGACTGATAGTTTTCTTCCTTGAACAAAGAACTGCCTGTTTCGTTGAAACATGAAACCGTAACCTTCTCGCTTTTTGCCTTGTGTATATATGCTCCCAAATTTCTATTAACTAGCTTTGAATTTTGAGCTCAAGACGGCGCCTATTAGCCTGGAGAAGGGCTGTTACAGTGTTGTCTCCACAGGGCAGAATACTGAGTGTATGTGTGTATAAATTTTGCAGCACTTTCTCTTTGTCTGCCAAAACGAGGGTAGTTGAGCAAAGTTCCTGCTTAAGGAGGAACTCCCTCCCAGTCGGCTACATTGAGACTTGATTCTTGTAATTGCAACAGAAGGTGGCCAAGATGCTATGACAGACCTTCTATACTCCCATCTGATGCCATAATGAAGTCCTAAGTCATGTGATGTAACAACAAAATACACTGGCTTGGTAGTCAAGTGACTAGCAGGATGAATCTGTAACTCACTGAGCTTTAGAGTCCTCACAAGAGTAGCACCTAAATGAATTCCAAGGTCACTTCTATTTCACTTGAATCAACTCAGAATTGTGACATTACCAAACACTTCTCACTTAATTCATGATACTAGGTGGATGCAACCTGATATTCAGATTTTACCTGAGTAAATCCATGTACTCATTCCACAAGTCTCAACTCAGTATAACAGAGCATAGGAAATCAGAACTAAAGGTAAACTTTTTAGGTTTCTAAGAATCTCAGGATAACCCTATCCTTCTTGGAGAGCCTATGGGATCTCTTTGTCAATTATTGGAATTACAGTGGCAACTGAGAGAGCTGCCTTAGGATATCGTCACTCAGACACGCCATATCCCATGATGACGACTGATCACTGAACAAGGCTGACATCACCTGCAGGTTCTGTTCTAGAGATTTACTGTTCCAGAGCTAGCCCCAAAGACCAAAGCAGACCCAGAGGGGTTCCACAGTTCCCAGCGAGCTGTATTCATCATCATGTTGGGCCAGATAGGCAGCAAACTTCCTGAGTGATTTAATTTTATCATTGTACATTCACTTTAAAGAAGTTAGTTTGTCTGGCCAAAAAGTGCTATCTGAAAACCCTATGTGGAAATAGGGTTTAACATGTGGGAAACATTCAAAAAGGTGAACAAACTTCAGAAAGATATTTAAGGTATTGTGCTTTAAAGTTCCTTAATTTAGCCAGTGTGGCCATCAGCTGAGCGTAATGAAGAGTGACTTAGACTGACTTTTGAATATAATCCTCCAGGTTAAGTCAATACAAATGAGTTAACACTGTTTATACCTTTATTCTCAGGGGCTTCTTTTCCAAAAGACACAACCAAAGCAATTCTTTCCCAAGTAGGTACAGCACATATTTTTCCATTCTCTCAACTTCCTCTTATTGTCTTTCTTCTTCACAAACTAGAAGTCTGTAGCTTAAGTGTTTTGTTTCGTATGTAATACTTTAAAAGTATTAATTAGTGGCCAATATTTAGAAGGAAAGATTTTATAGCACTATTAAAAAATTGATTTCTTGGGGGAGGGGAATTTGGTGTCCTAAATGGCAACAATAAATACAGGTGAGTAGTGGCTACCCCTGGACAGGTGGGCTAGGTGCTGTCCAATTCACCAGTTTTCCCACCAATTCTGCTTTACTCATTCATGTACCATTAGTGTTCCATTTGTGTTGGTCATTCCTGCTCAATAGCTCATGTCTCCTAGCCACTGGGGCCAAAACGTGCCAAAGCCCTTTAAAAGCCCCAGACGAAGCTGCCTGCCTATCCTACCAACAAGTCAGCCTGGTAATGGAAAAGATTTTTCTGTAGGCGCAGGGCTTTTAGAGCTGAACAATTTCCCAGTCTGATGAAGGAAACTGATAACTACAATATGGCATGATGAGTTATGTATGACGGAGTAAATAAAGGGAGCAACAGCAGACCAGGGGAAATGAGGTGAATCATTTTAATCTTGCCTTCTTGATCATTAATGGCCTAGAGAGAAGTCTAACCCAGACTTCTGAAGCTGAAGCCCAAAGAATAAACAGCAATATAAATACAAACGGTTAAGGCAGAGGGAACAATATGTAAGGCGTAGCTGAGACAATGACTTCATATAGTTGGAGAGGAGGGTGACAAGAAACGTAAAGTGAAAGATGAAGGTTAAGATATAAGCTAAGTTCAATTTAGGCAGATTCCAGGATGTCGTCTGGGAGTCAGTCTAAGCAGCCTGAACTTTAATTTAGGGACGACAAGTCACTGCCAAGCTTTAAGCAGAGGGTGAAGT